GTAAGGCTTCGCCTAAAAAGTGCAAGAGACTTCTAGGGGTCGATGTGCCAAATAAATAGGTTCCTTCAAGCGGTCCTCTTTTAAAGGGTTCTTTAAAGGGATCTTTAAGGGTCCTATAGGGTTTAGGGTTTAAGGGTTCATGTACCCCAAAGGTATATGGTATATGTACTTTGGACCCAAAGTATCTATATAGGGATGAACTTCAAGGCCAAAGTGTACCTAGAGGGTCATACCCTACCCCTGTGTTTATGGTACCTAGCTTTATGATTAGGATCTCTTGTGTAGAAAAGCAGGTACCCTGAAAAGGGGTAGGCTATGATCCTTTAGGTTTAGGGTTCAGGGCTTAGGGTTTGGGATTTCGGGCTTCCGGTTTCGGGCTCAGGGAACCAAACGGTCTCACAACTAAGCTTGTTTGGAACCCTTCTTTGTGGGTGCAAGTAAGGGATGAGGGTTTAGGGTTTAGGGTCTAGGGTTTAGGGTAACTACTTCTCACACCCAGGATCCTCAAAAGCCGGACATTCCAGCAGACTCAAACAATGCTTTGTTTGGGGTTCATGGGGTAAGTGCTTATGGTCTAGGGGGCCCTAAACCCTGACCACTAAACCCTAAACTACAAACCAGACGGGGTTGAGTGTTACTCTTGGGCGTTCTGCCTGCATGCGGGACTGGCGGAACTTGTTGGTCAGCTGCTGTGCCTGCTGCTGCGTCATCCTGGCCGCAGTCGACAGAGCCCTGAATGCACAAATACGACCCAGTGATTGCAGCATGGTGTTTGTTGTGGATGTAAAGTTTTGCGTTTCGGACGGTGGTACTTAGCAGTTTGTAGAGCGCATCGAGAATTACCCCAAGTCTCAAACTAGCCCAAAAGCTCGTACAGCATGGCCTTCGGGCTAAGTTTTTTCACCCTGCGGGGGGAAGGGTTTGCTCTTGGACACCAGCGCAGAATGGGGGCCTTGTACAGTTTGTGGTGTGGCTTGCCAGCTCTACTGCCCCAAGAGTGCAGAAATTGTCCCAAAAATCATATAGTCTGTATCGTCTCCACTGTAGTTCCTTTTTGGGTTCCCTATAATTTATAACTGGTTAAACCCACGAAATGAACTACACTAGAGACTGTAGGCAATATAGAGTCCCTTAAACCCTAAACCCTAAACCCTAGTTAAGTCCCTAAAGACTTCGCATGGCTTGAGGTCTGTGGATACTGAGCTCACTGAACTTCCCAGGCTCAAGGGCTGCCACAATCCAGGAAAGCAGATTCCCATTCTAGAGGTCGCAAGAGTCATATACAGATACATAGATAGATAGATAGATAGATAGATAGAAAGCAGATATTGCCGGGTCAGCTGACAAAACGCGAGCCCTTAACCGGTAAACGCCTAACCTCTTCAGCCTCCAACCATCAAGCATGAAGGCCCGAAGCAACTCGACCCCTAAACTCTTAAACCCTAAACCTTAAACCCTAAACCTTAAACCCTAAACCCTAATCCCTTAAACCCTAAACCCTAAACTCTAAGCCCTAAACCCTAACAACCCGGGACCCGAGACCCCGAACCCTCCACCCGATACCGAGGCTGCACAAACTGAAGACAACGCCCCACCCCCCGGCGGTTCTGTGGCCTATTATAAGGTAGGTGCCTTAATCAATAGGGTTTTGGAGCCCCTTATAACATTACAATCTTCTCATCCTAAGGAACAAACCCTAAAGAATAATGTTGGTAACTAGTTTGGCTTCTATATTGTAGTAAACCCCAAAAAGTTGGAAACCTGAATAAGAACAAATAGTGCTGGGATTCCCTCTACATCACTCTTAAGGATTGAGGCTACTGGGTTTCGAACTTTTGAGCTTCTATAATAGATCCTTCGGGATTCTCGGAGTTTAGTGTCTGGTTTCCGGTAAACCCTAAACCCAAAAACCCTAAACCCTAAACCTTAAACCCTAAAACCCTGAACCCCAAACCTTAAACCCTAAACCCTAAACCCTTAAACCCTAAACCCTAAACCTTAAACCCTAAACCCTAAACCCTAATAAGGTCTCGGCTTTAGAAGGTTCGCGCTTAGGACCCAGCGAACTGGTGGAAGGTTTCGGGTTCAGGATCTCGTAGCCAGGGTTTCGGGATTATGGGTTTAGGGTTTAGTAGGATTTAGGGTTTAGGGGTTTAGGGCTTAGAGGTTAAAGGTTCAGGGTTTCGGGATTAGGAGGGTTTCGGGTTTAGGGGCTTAGGGTTTAGTAGGGTTTAGGGGTTTAAGGGTCTAGAGTTGGGGTTTAGGGGTTTCGGGCTTCGGCTTTCGGGTTTAGGGGTTTGGGGTTTAGGGTTTAGGGTTTAGGGTTTAGGGTTTAGGGGTGTATTCGCAGCTTTTCTCCCTGGCCTCAACTGATTGGCCAGCTGGTTGAAGTTTCGCGCGACATCCCCAGGATGGCCTTTCTGCGCGTCCTGCAGCTTCCGCTGCACCTGCGATACCGGGCGATAAGCGCTAAACCCCAAGCCGTGAACGCTGAACCGCAATCCACCAGAGCCCCAAACCAAACTATCCCAAAGAAGAAGACAAAAGCCTCACCAAGAGAAGGGCGTTAATCCCGAGGTCAAAGCTTCGATACAAAATACTTAACATGCACGGTTTAGGGCTTTGGGTTTAGAGTTTAGGGTTTGGAGGACATACCTACATATGTACATTAACACAAGCATGAGTATGCATATACGTGTATGCAAATAACAAATCGTTTGCTCGTATGTCTCCACCCTTCGTGTATCCACAATGTGCAATGATAAGCATATCTCTGCGAACAAATCTGTCTATCGTATCTTTACCTCTGTGTGTCTCTCTCTCTCTCTCCCTCTCTTTCTCGCCCTCCCTCTTATCTACGGCTACAGCTAGACGGAACAGGGAGATACATGTATGTATAACCATCTATGTGTATATTTTTGCACACGTACACATGTGCCCGCAAGTCTGCCTTTTGGTTTGTCAGGCAAGACAAACGCAACCAGGGAGGGTCACAAAGGCAACCAACGAAGTGTTGGTGCTTCACGTTTGGAGCTCAAGACATGAACGTGCCGAAATTACCTGGTACAAACATATTACAAAGTTTATATAGATATATACATATATATATATATATCTCTCTCTCTCTCTCTCAAACTGTATGTATACACGCTGCCAGCAAGGGAAGGTAGCACCACGAATACATACAACATCGTCTTGTCCAAACTTGCCGGCTACTATCGTATGTCGATGTATATGTATTTATGTGTCTAGTATATATATATACATATGTATATACATATACATATGCATACCTGTGTGTGTGTGCGTATGTAACACACCGTATGTATATACACACATGTAGCTGTGCGTATACATACAACCATACATGCATGCGAACGTGCGGGACATATGAACAAATGCTTAATTACATGTGTGCGTGCAATATACATATATATATATATACACATGCATACATACATACATACATACATACATACATACATACATACATACATACGCATGTACATAGAGTAAATCTAGTCGGTGTGTATAAAGTGTGTGTATATATATATATAAGTGCAGATACATACACATCTACAGATGCAGCAAGATATCTACACACACATACCTACTTAGGGCTCCAAGAAACTCTGGGCATGATATGCTACTCGAGTTTGGAACACGACTTGGGTTGAGGCCTTATTAAGTAGAAGAGTTAGACAGTATAGGTTTTTGTGTATTTCTAACCACACAGGCAAGGAGTTCGCGTCATGGAGGACTGGGACTGGGGTTGTTTGACACATGTCTTCAGGCCATATGACGTAGGCTGTATATCAGGAATCGGTGTGTGCGTATGTCGGGTTTTGGTACACGGCACCCGTCTGTTCTGTCTGTCTAACCTGTGTCACTACGCCTCACAGTTCGACTGACTAGCAATAGACACTGTACTTCATATGAATCATATGCCCTACCTGCCAAAACCGTCTAACAACCCAAAAGGAAACCCAAACCCTAAACCCTAAACCCAAACCTAAAGCCCCAATCCCTGAACCCTAGACTCAACGATTCTGGAATACCTAACACGGTCTAAGCTGTGAGCCGAAGGCCGTAATTCAGGTGTCTTCATGATTAGACTCGAGATTTGTGTTATACTGTGATAGAGCTTTGCTCTTACATTCCCGATGTCAGCAAAGTTGAGCCGTATACCTCAAAGTAGTGGCCCCGAGTCTTTACAACATGCCCAAGCTAGAAGCCTGACTAAGTACTTGCCAATGGTATGGCTCCCGCTTATGCAAAGCTGACAACTGTCGTGTAAAATACTGCTTGAATTGTTGAGATACCTATACCTTTATCATGAGCAACCCTGGATCCGCGTAACTCGGATCGCCCGAACATCATAATTCACAGCGAATGCAGCCTGAACAGAAAAAAGAGATCTCATGTGATGCTAAGCCTCTTACAAGTTAAGGAATCTTCTAGGTTTGGGGCTCCGTGTGTCAATCGTTTGAAACCCAGATCAAGTCACAGCATCCAGACAGATCTTAAACCAGACTGAAACACTGCCTAGATCCTGAACCCTACAGTACCCGAAGCCCGCAACACCCCAAGCACCCCAAGCCCCCACCCCCCCAACCAAAAAGTCCCAACCCCGATAGTCCCGAGAAATCGCTCACAGCCTCCATCATGGCAGTGCTGTGCGGCTGCAACAACTGCTCCGCCTCTTTCGAGCTTCGGGAGCAGACCCTAAACCCTAAACCCTAAACCCTAGACCCTAAACCTGTGGAAGAGCCGATG